ATAGCAGCATCCATCATGTGTGCTGAGTGCCATGTGGGATCTGGGCCTTCCATCCAGCAGTATAAGGAAAAACATTGCTCAGTACCATCTTTTCACGCTTCTTCTCTCAGCCTTTCAAAAGCTCATTTCCACTAAGCTTTTGTGTCCCTTCTTCCAAGTCCTATCACAGCCCTGTCACAGGCATGTAGTAGCCAATAGCAGCTGCAACACAGCTTCTATGTGCTGGACTCAGTGCTCGCAAGCTGTCTGGGGTTTCTCCAGGGTGAAGTTCTCTATCTGTGTAAAAAATATGATTTCCATTTGATTGCACAAACCTCTTCTTGTCTTGAGGGAGCGATGAGTCACTCAGTGTCAGTGCCACGTCCAGCATCCACAGACAGACCCACGTGTCTGAGAAGCTCCGATAGATCTATGACAAGTTCTTCCCATGACTCATAACAACAAAAAGAAACCATTTACTCTGTGCTCAGAAAGCTCCTTGAGATCTGAGTTATGCAGATATTCATTCAACTGCAGGGAGACAGGCAGGGATTGCCACACTTCCAGTCTGCAGATGAATGAAATGAAGCAGAGTGGAAGGCATTTGAATACAGCCACAGTGCTAGGGAGGCGTGAAATCTGATTTCTGGCCCAGGTCACTGCAGCAGGTCACAGTGAGCTGCTGGCCACAGTGAGCTTCTGCACCCCACCCCATCAGAAATGCCAACAGCTGTGGATACCAACCCCATGAGAAGAAGAGGCTTTCCCCCAGGGGAATAGCTGCTACCTTAAGTCCTTTGAAAGTCAGGAGCTGGATCTCCTTCAGTGATACCTATCCAGGAATCCTCAGATGCACCTAAGATCCTGGCACCAGGGGGTTATTAGAGCAGTTCTGCTAACATTACAATAAACATGCAATTGCTTGTCATCTAGATTTTACATTTGCTTATATATGCTTTCTCAGATGTGAGCCTTTCAGGAGGAATTGACCTTGATATTGCTTTGGATCATGTAATTCATAGTAGGAGTTCAGTGCATTCCCCTTACAACTCTTTCTGAAGTTCAGCTTGAATTCTCTTTTGACCTTCTTTCTGTGCCCACAAAAAGAGGCCGAACAATGCTTGGTACAGATATTTTGAGACTTCGAGTGAACAAAGTACTATGGTTATGTTTGGACGGCCCAGGAGCAGTTTCCCATCACAGCTGAACACCTCTTGCTAGCTGCTGCCTCCTCTCCCTCAGCTCACCTTCCTCAAAGAGCTAAACTTGCTAACCAGAAGGAATAGCTTTGGTTAGCTTAGCTCCCCACATGGACTCATCAATGCATCTGACAAGGCCTAGGAAGCAGAACCAGGGTGGCCCCACCTAACATTGCCTTAGTTTGCCTCAGCAACTGCATGGTAGAAGCAGAAGCACTTCTCCCTTTCTTGGCTCCTTTTCCTAGCCTTATGCTGTCCTCCATTAGACCAAATGTTCGAGCAGAGGTATGGCCAGTTAGATCAAAGGAAGTTCAATATTCAGAGCAAGGTGAGGACCCTGGAAGCCCGGAGCTGTAACAGTTGCAACATCCTGGTACCACTAGACTCACTGGATGGAGGAGATGGAAGGTTTCCTTTGGCTTACCATAACAGGCATTTATTCTTCTGCAAAAAGACAACAAATTGAGAAACCTGGAATGTTCTGAGGCAGTCTTCACCTGATACATGTTAATGGTTAACTGCTTTTCTCACGTGTCAAATGCACACCTTATTCCCACAGAAGAAAATCTGCAGGATCGGTGACAAGTCGTGGCCCTACGGAGTCAGGGCTGGGACTGACACTCTGTAATATCTTCACCAATGACACTGACAGTGGAATCCAGTGTACTCTCACCAAGCTTGCAGATGACGCCAAACTGTTTAGTGCAGTTGACATACCCGAGGGATGGGATGCCATCCAGAGGGACCTTGACAGGCTCAATCAGTGAACCCAGGAGAACCTCATGAGGTTCAACAATGCCAAGTGCAAGGTCTTGCACCTGGGTCATGAAAACCGCTGCTAACAGTTCAAGCTGGGGAGTTAAAGAATAGAGCACAGCCCTGACAAAAAGGAGTTGGGGGTACTGATGAATGGCAAGCTGGACATGAGCAAGTAATATGCCCTCACAGCCCAGAAAGCCAACCATATCCTGGGCAGCATCCAAAGAAGCATGGCCAGCAGGTTGAGGCAGGTGATCCTGCCCCTCTCCTCCGTGTTGGTGAGACCTCACCTGAACTACTGTGTCCAGATGTGGAGACCTCAGTACAGGAGAAATGTGGACCCCGTTGGTGTGTGTTCAGAGGAGGGACACAACAATGATCCAAGGGGCGGAATACTTCCTACATGAGAACAGAATGAGAGAGCTGGGGCTGTTCAGCCTGGAGAAGAGAAGGTGCTGGGGAGACCTGATAGTGGCCTTTTCAATACCTGAGGGGGTGTTTCAGGGTATGTTTGGATCTGAGAGACAGGATGTTTCAGGAGCAGAGGCAAGCAAACTATGCACTCAGAGCAGCACAGAGGGTTATGTGTTTTATTCAACATACACACACTCATACATACACAGGCATCCATTTTAGATAATCCCCATAAGCAGGCAGCAGAAACTCCCTAAGTAAGTGCGCTATTACTTATTGACTCTTGAGAGACGGCAAACCATCAAAAGGAGAAAGAAAGAACAGGCCCCCTGCTTCAAGGTGCACTTTTCCTCTCTCTCCCATCACAGCCTCTCTCCTGCTTTTTATTCTCCCTGGGGTCTGGCAGGTTTTTTTCCATTTGCACACTGTACCCGCGTGGTCAACATGTGATACAGAACCCAAGTGGAACACCTGCTTGCAAAACAAGTCTTCGCAAAAACAAGATAAACTGCCAAGGTCAGCTCTCTCTACAAAACAAGATATTTGCGGCTACGGCAACAAGTATCAGTTCCCTTAAAACTGTCAGGATACTTTGTTTCATCCCAGGATCATTCTTCAGTCAGGGCCTTTCAGGTCCCCAACACAAGAGGTGCTATTGAAAAGAAGGGACAGACTCTTCAGCAGGGTCTGTTGTAATATGACAAGAGGAAATGGTATCAAATTAAAAGAGGGGAGTTTTAGACTGGATATAAAAAAAAGTTCGTTTTTTCTTTTTTATGATAAGTGTGGTGAGGCACTGGAATAGGTTGCTCAGAGATGAGGATGCCCCATCCCTGGAGAGATGCAGCACTAGACTGGCTGGGGCTCTGAGCAACCTGATCTATCTGTAGGTGTCCCTGTTCATTGCAGGGGAGCTGGACTAGATGATCTTTCAGAGCCCTTTCCAACTCAAAGGAGTCTGTGATTCTACAAAAATATTTGCTTCTCTCAGCAACATCCCAGTTCATAATCGTGTGCTTTACATCTGTTAGCCCTTAAGTTATCAGGAAGAAGATTTACTCATGGTTTAGAGGGAAAAGGTGGGCTGCAGATTCAGTGTCTAGGATTCAGTTGCTCCCGTGGGCAATATTACTTCTGGAGAAGAACAGGAAGAATAGAAGTGCATGCCTTTAAACCACACTCCTGGGGCTTGGACCTCATCACAGCAGCAACATAAATGCATCCCTATATACATATGCAGCACTTTTTTGCTACAGTATCATTGCTTTATCATTGATTTTCTGTCAGAGGCCTCACTGCAGTTGATGTTCATCTTGGCCTTGTACCTGACAGAACAGAGATGACAATTGCCTCAGCTTTCATAGCTACAAAATAAAGATGAGCATGTTAAAAGAAATGCAAGAGGTTTCCTGTGCTGCTGGATCATGCTCTCCTCTTGTTTTGTAGGGGCTGTGACAGCCTCGCAGCATTGTAATTAGAACATGTGTTTCACACTTGATAGTCTGTCCTGCACAATTCCATTCACCCTTCACAACTGTGTGGCAAATCAGCACGCTCACCCTCCATTTACTTGCCAGGTGAATACTTTTCTGAGCTTGAACATGGACTCAGTGTGATTTACAGGCAGCAATTGTATTTCACAAAAGACCTTAAATATTTAGAACTGCATACATGCAGAAGGGTCCTCTAAGGGCACTCTAAGCCTTTTAAGGACTTGTTTTAAAGGGTTCTGGAGGTCTCAGGATCCCAGGGAAAGCTACCAGTGCTCCTTACCTCTGAGATGACTCCTGAGGAGAACAGAACATGGTGAAGTAAACGCAGTCCCCCCTCTTAGGGAGGAACAAGCCTGTAGGCAGCCTTGTGAGCAACACAAGAGACCTACACTTGGTGTAGTAACACCAAGGAAGAAACAAAGAGGACTGCTGCCCCAATTCCTACCCAGCAGGAGAGGCATGCTGGGCAGAAGCTCTACTAGATCAGAGCCTCCACTAGGACCGCGCAGAGCCGGCTCTGGCCTAATGTAGCAGAGAAACTGGCTCAGGGCATCCAGAAAAAGATTTACCTATGTGAATAAATGTCTGCAAGGCCCAGCACGCCTGCCTTTCACCCTAACTTCCCTTATGCTGCTGGAAAGCAGGGCTCAGCAGAAGCCCAACGCAGCTCAACCTAACCGTGCCCCACACTGCTGCTTTCCCCACTGGAAAACCTCCCCACCTGCAGGTGCTCTCACAGGCACCTCACCACCATCACCCGTGCAGCTCCTGATAGAAACACTACACAGTGCCCGCTTTTTTTTTTTATTTATTTTTTTTATTTCCTCCTTTCCCTATTTCAGACCACAGCTTTAGCTCCGAACGCAGAGCAAACCCGTGGCTACCAGAAGCAGAAAGACGAGCGTGACACAAAGGGAAGAGCTCAGAGCCCACCAGCAGCCCGCAATCAGCACTCAGCCACTCCCAGCGCAGCTCTGCCACTCGTCTGCCTCATTACCACTAGAGGCGGACCCGCCGAACCTGACGGGTGCCGCTTCAGGAATGAGAACGCCAAACCCGCTCTCCGCAGCCGCCATTCTGAAGCCGCCATTTTGGAGGCCGCCATTTTGAAGGCCGCCATTTTGAAACCGCCATTTTGGAGGCCGCCCCTCCCCGCCCCGTCCCGCCGCTGTCTGGGCGGAGCTCCGCGCGGCGCCGCCCCCCGGTCCCGCTGCGGCCTGGCCGAGTAGATGGAGGCGGCGGGCGGCGGCGCGGCGCCGGGCTGCATCGATCTGCACGATTTCAGCGGGCAATTGGGTGAGCAGCGAGTGCACTTCCACGCCATGCGGCTGCAGGACTCGCTCTTCCTCTGGGTGGGCGCCGCGCCCGCCCTGTCCAGCCTGGCCGTGGCCATGTGCAGCCCTCGGGTGAGTGTGAGTGAGTGTGAGTGTGTGTGCCCCCGCCCGGTGCCGTTCCGCGGCTCAGCCCGCGCTGTGCTTTGCCCGCAGGACAGCGTGCCCGTGTCCACCTCGCTGCTCGGGGACCCCTCCGACACCGCCTCCGCCTGCCTGGCCCAGCGCCTGGGTACGTGCGGGGCCGCGGGACCGAACCGTAGCCCTGGGGTGGGGCTGGGGGCGGCGGGGGCGCCTCGTGTGGGCGGGGCGGGCGGCCTTCCTGCCGGGCAGGAGGAGTGCTTCTGGGGGGGCCGTGGCATCACAGAGAGACGGGACATCCCGAGTTGGAGGATGCCCACAAGAGCCATCGAGTCCCGCTCCAAACACTCTCAAACTCTGGCACTTGGGGCCGTGCTCACTGCCCTGGGCAGCCGTTTCCATGCTCAACACCCTCTGGTGCAGACCTTTCCCTAACCCCAGCTGCCCCTCCCCTGACGCAGCTCCATGCCGTTCCCTCAGCCCTGTCGCTGTCACACAGAGCAGAGCTCAGCGCTGCCCTCCGCTCCTGTGAGGAGCTGCAGCCGCCATCAGGCCTCCCCTCAGCTCCTCTGCTCTGGGCTGAGCAAACCCAGGGACCTCAGTCACCCTCATACCCCTTGCTGTCTAGGCCCTTCCCGTTTATATAGCTCTCCCTCGGATACTCTCTAATAGCTTTATGTCCTCACCGTATTGTAGTGGCCAAATGGCACCCAGTGCTGAAGGTGATTGCACCAAACCCTGTCATGTTTCTCACTGGTTAGCACCCACGTTCTGCCGTGGTGAGCTCCAAGCTGTCTCACAGGTGCCAGCGCTTGCTCTGCCGCTGCACCACGTAAGGCACACCTCTGGCATTGTCCCCTTCTTGTAACCATAGAATCATTGAGGTTGGAAAAAACCTCTAAGATCATCAACTCCAACCTTCAACCCATCGCTACCATGACCACTAAACCATGTCCTTGAGGTCTCCAGCCAGTGTTAGAGCATCCCGGTGTACCCACGGCACAACACCAATGCATGCAGTAACCCAAATGCATGCCTTCATCTCCTGACATGCCTCCTATTACAGCACATCCTGTCAATGCTTCTAGCACCTGCTTAGCTTCAGTGGCAGCCTTGTGCAGGTTATTGGAGCTCACTGGCCAGTGACTGGTATGGCTCCAGCGGGCAAACTGCTGATGTGCTTGATACTGGGTGTTAGATACAGGATGGTGCACTGCTTGCTTTCTCCTTACTTCTGTCATTTCAGTTGAAAAAGGTTGTGTAATTCTTCCTTGCAAACTGAATCCTGATCATGGGCATTGTGTCAAGAGCTTGTAGCAGCAGGCAGTTCCATGAGCCTGCCCCTACTTCTCTGTGGCCCAACACCTATATAAAAAAAGGTTGTTCAACAAGGCTTATTGTGAACAACCATCTCTATAACTTGTCTTTTATCAGTTACTGCTGTAGCCTCCCCTGATGGCAGCTCTTTCTCTTACCAGGTTTAGGCATCTCCACTGTCACTAATAATTCTATGGGGTGCTGGATAACACGATTTCTTTACGTGTAGTTAGTGCATTGTCCTTATCTTTGTTACCAAGAGCTTGGTACTGGGATATCAGTTATTCTTGATCCTCACAGCATAACACGCCTTCATCTCTTCCTTCTCTTTGTGTGCCTGCAGTACCTGTCATTATTTTATTTTAAGCTTCCCATGCCCAGCTGGTCTTTTGGTGAGTGTTCCTGTCTGGCTCACCTCATGACTGCAGTTTTCCCTCCTGGTCACCGTCACCTATGTTTTAATAAATTCTCTTCTCACTTATAGTTTCCTGCTTAAGGAACACCCTACTGAGGAAGACCTGGGGACCTTTTTCACTTTGGGCTGGGAAGAGAAAGTCAATGACACACTTCTGGCTTTGACTAATTGCTTGCTTGCTGATCATATTAGCTAATGGGGTTTTGAGAAGAGAACTGAATCTTCTTTCTGAAATTCTACACCCTGGTTTCTAGGCTTGCTTTTGTCAGCTCAGCAATGTAATATGGGCCAAGTGTGCTTGCAGACACTCAGTCCAAAGCTGTTTTACACTGAAATCAGTGTAAAATTATTGCCAAGCCTCTCTGTGTTGTCTTTGTTCCATGGGCTGTGCAGCAAGGAGATGTGCGCTCTGCCCTGAGCAGAAATACCAAGCATCACTTTGGCTGGCATTGAGCTTTCCTCCAGGGAATTAAATCCTCTGTACTCCCACAGCTTCTGCACTAACAGAGATGGCTGTTTGATCCCAGCCAGCCCCGTAGTTGAGGAAGCCTTCTTACCCATCCTGTCATCTTGGAACCTTTAGGCAGGCAGTAGCTTCTTTTTCTGTGTGCTGTCACCACGTTTATGTCCCATTTCCATTCTGCTGTTGGCAGGCACTCGTTTAAGTAGCACACAATGCCATCTGGAGGCCAATAGTATTATTTCTTCTGCTTCTCAGTTGTGTTCCATCACCTGTGCTTTGTTCCTGCAGTACCAGGTTCCCTGTTCTGGGGCAGGAATTTTGGTGTTCCCATGTGTCAGTGTATGCACATTCTCCCATTGTTTTCTTTACAGTCTGATCGACTTCCTAGCCCGAACAGCTGCATTTAGCGTACTGGCTCTGTCTTTTCCCCTTTTTTATTATTTTTCCATCCACTGATGAAAGAATATTTGCAGCATTCCCATTCCTACATGCCTATTTCTATCTGTACTGGGTGCAGAGACTGCTTCCCACAGCCTACCTCCATGCCCTGCCACTTATTCTCTAACATGAGATGCATCTAACCTGTTGAGAAACCTGTATCCTAAAAGATTGTTCCCTGTGAGTTGGAGGAGCCCCCTTCTAGAGAAATCTTTGTGTATGTGTAGCCTCTCTGTGCTAAACGGGTGAGCTGGTAGAATGGAAAATGGCAATAAACAGATTTGTATAAAGAAAATGCCTCAAAGGAGTAGTTAAGCTACATTTTATATATATGTGTGTGTGTGTGTGTGTTAAAATATGATTATAAACATATATATTGGTTTTCTGAAATTAACTTTCCAACAAAGAAGGACTGAGATATTACACGTTGTGGTGTCCTTATTTTCAGTTTTTAGATTTCAGATGATGTTTCTGAATACTGAGTGAAACACTCTTGATTTCTCCTTGGGACTGGCAGCTCCCAGCTTACTGCTGTCATGAATGTGGTGTGACCTAAATACCATTTTTGTCTTTTATTTCATGCAACTATTTTAAACCTAGTGTCTGTTTTTCCCTATGGTGCTTCAACAGTTGAGCTTTAGCCATGTATTAAGGGAGTTACAAAACAGCAATGTCTCAAAGGTAATATCTAAGTAGAATTCCATTTTATTTATAAAATGCTTCTTTGTATTATCTGTTCTACTCTGATAATTAAGTTTTCCTGCCCCCGTGGACATTGGTTTTGTCACTGTTAATTAGTTCTGTGATGGATGACATTTCTTAATTTTATAGCACCTCTCTCCAGGTAGTTACCAGTGCAGTAGCCCAGAAATTCTGATGTTCCTGGATACCACAAGTGAAGGGTAGAGGAAACACAGCCACTAACAGCAGGCCTTGACAAAAGCAATGCACAGCTTTGGGAGCCTTTTTAGGACATTCATAATGAAAAAAAAGAACTTTGCTAATTGTGGTCTGATACGTTTCTTGTTGACTTTCCCTCTGTGTTTTTCATGAACCAAGTGTCAGTGATGCAGTTTGAGCTTGGTCTGTCGTTTCACTTCCACTATCCTATATTTAAGAAGTGTCCGAAACACACAAAAGGCATGGGGAGGTTTTCTAGCAACTGGTGGTTTTTGCATCACTCCAAAAACTCATTCACAGTCACCAGGTGGGATTATATTGCCCACTCTAGCACTGTGCAGAGTTCTGCAATGTGCGGGGTGCTTTACAACTTGGTCCTGGCATGTGGGAAGTAGAGAATGGTCTGGTAGGCATCTTCATGATTGTTTTTTAAAATGAATGCTTGAGTATCTCCATGGCTTTTGTAACGGAGTAAACTATGCCTGAATATTTTGTTCTGTGTTTTAGCCAAGAAGACCAAAAAACAGGTATTTGTCAGCTACAATCTGCCAAACACAGACAGCAGTTTCACCTTACTCATAGAAAACAGGATCAAGGAAGAAATGATGGCTTTTCCTGAGAAGTTCTGACTTTGCATCATTGTAAAATAACTGGAAGTTTTTGTTTCAGAAGAACTGAGTGCAGTTTTCACACTGCCATTAAGCAGTATACTTGTTTTGTATTGCATTGATTGAATTTGCATTTGTTATTAAATGTAACTGACCTAAATACAGTTGGACCTGGAATTTTTTTACCCCAGATTTGTACCCTGCCAAGCTGGGGACAGGTTGGTCGAGTAGAAAGATGCTGCCATGTAAGGACATCATTACAGAAGTGCATACAATGTCTGGGCTGCTTCTTCTGCTGGGAAATCAGTGCCAAGTTATAGCAACTCATCTACCATGTGGTAGTTGAACGTGGCAGAGCAGCTTTTAGTTGTTCCTATGAACACCTGTGAGGGTACCAGAGAGCACTGTCTTTTGCTTGAGAAGGAAAATGATGGTAATAGCTGAAATGGGGGCTATTAGAATGGAACCACGTGGGTTTTGTATTCAGCGGCTGTAAAATACAATGAACATTACCTTGTTCTGTCATTTTAGTGCTGTTGTAGTAGCACTAAACATTGAATTTCCTTCCATCTTCTGGACACTGGGAGGCTTTCACAAAGGGTTTTCTGTACAGCCCTGACAGCGGCGTAGAGGGAAAAAGCACAGCTTGACTTTTGGAGCAGTAAGTCTGCCAGCTGCTAGAAAAACATCATGTGTATAAATTGACCACACTCATTAGAAAAATCAGAGCAGTCAATACCACCACCACTGCTAGGCATTCTGTTGCTACAGCTCTAGACTTGCTTCTTGCTAGGATATCGTTTCAAAGGCAAATCCCCCTGCTATTTTGTTCAACAAAACAGGCAGATTAAAATTAACTATGTGAAAAAACCCCAAACCTCAAAATACACCACAGAGCCAATGGTGTAATGACTGTCTGTAGCTGTCAATACATGCTGTGCTATTGAGCAGTACCTACTCTTCACAGCAATTTTAGGAACACTGAGCATAGCAACCTGATGAGCAAATGGAGTATTTTTCTTTTTTTATTGCAAGTTGAGCCCTGACTTAAACTTCTGATGCAATTGAAAACTCCAAGTTCACCAAAGGTTGGTGAGTGATGTTGGATCACAGCCAGTCTCCAGTTGTCTGAAGGAGCTGGAACGTCCATGGCTGCAGACCTGCTATCAGCACTGCACGTTCCACGTGGGAGCACTGGGCCTGTTCTTACCTGGCAGGCACAGCCACCAATGCTTGGCTGCAGTTCAGGATCATGGCAGCAAAAGCAGCTGTTGGACGGGATTTATACAGCCCAGGAAGCAGAGTCAGCTGTTCTTCAGTGACTGAATGCAGAGGATAATTAGTTGCAAATCAATGTGCAGATTTAATTAGCCTGAATTAAAATCGGATCATTCTGTTTGTAGAGGACCAAAAGTCACGGTGAGGGAGACGGACCACGGAAGGCAAACCGATGGGACAACATCTTTTTATTCTGTACATTTACATACAAAGTTTCTCAGTAGGTACAACGGATGTAACATCATGCAGACATTTAGCTTGTAAGACTGTTTTCAGTACTCGATTTAAGCTTGTGCTATGAGGAAGCACCACCAGACTATTCATGATCAAAACATACAGTAACACGATTCTTTAAAATTTCATCAGAAACCGCAATGGGGAGGGAAGTCTCACCCACAGACATAACACACTGTTACTCCTTTCCCAAAACATTTTACACAATACATTTAAAATGAGGTTTGTCATTTTTCTTAAAAAAAGTTACAGTGGGGGAGACGATCCCACACTTAATAGTGTTGTCTTATGTGCCAGCTACAGGCGCAACTTGACTTGACATTCACAGAGTTCATTTAATGGCACTTCTGCTTCCAATTTGGTGACCTTTAGTGTTTGGCTCCAGGAAGTGGCGACAGTTAAGCAAAATACTTCCATTAAAAAAATAAAAAAATAAAAAAATACCAACAACCGTACAACAAGCGTGCTCACCGAAACTGCAAGGTAAATCAGACAGAACCCTCTCACAGGTGCCAGAAAACACCTCCAAACAGATGACAGCTTTTTCCACGCTGTCTGTATCTGTCTGTAGCGTGTCAGGCAGCACAAGCATTACGGAAATCTTAAAAGGAAAGACAACCAAGATCAAGCATAATGTCACTTTCACATTTTTCTTTAAAACGAGAAAGTAGGAAGAAAGCCCTTGAATGGCAAGCCAAAAGACAAAAATCCACGGATGGGCTTAGAGGTTAACCAAAGGCTCAGAGAAAAGGGCTGACGTGGACAGGACAACTCGGAGCGCTTCCTGCACTGTGGTGGCCAGAAATGGCCGTTGCAGAAGAGCAACTCCTGGCCGTAGCTGCAGAGGAGCGGAAGGAGGAGCCAATGGCTGAGCAATGAGGTACTGAGCGTCTGCCTGCAGCACCCGACTGCTCCTCCGAGCTCTCCCACACCAGAGAAGCTTAAGAAAAGCTTTCCAGCTACACGAGCGTGGGAAGAAGGAAACAAAAACAGAAGAAAACACACATAATTGTTCATCCTTTCAGGAGAAGGTGCAAAATGAGCTACTGATCTTGTGTTCTATTATTACGACGGAGGCGGAGGGCCAAACCGGCCTGAGAAGCTGGGACTCCCCACACTGCACATCAGTACTGAGTATCTGTTTACAGGCAAACAAAAAAAGCCTGCAGTAATTCACGTCACTTTTTAAAGAATTAACAACAACAAAAAGCGCCAAATATTCCTGTCACCTTGTGTTCATTACATAAATGTTGATATGTTTAAACGAGCATTCTCTTCCCTGGGCCTGCCTGTCCTCAGAGAGCAAACACCAGAATAGGAAACGATAAAGCGCTGTGGACACCAGCGGTGAGCACACCGGGACCGCTGACAGTGCTGGAAGCAGCCAGCTGTGTGAATGGGCTCCAAGAGCCGTACCACAGCTTGAGTACACACAGAGACCTTTTCTATTCCCTTCAAACTTGTTCTGCCTCGTCAATTTCCCTTGTGAACCCACTTCTTCCCCCCAGTGTGCGTGGCTTGCCACAAAATTCTTATACTGAAGGCGAGAGGTACTGCACAAATTTGGCACGTGGATGCTGTGTGGACTTGAAAGGCCTTGGGTTATCCTTAGGTGAGCACAGATCCTGGAAGTCAGCACAGAACAGAAAGAGGGAAATGGCTGCTCTCAAGCTGGGCAATAAAACTTTGGTGTAAGGAAGATCAGGCTCTTGCCGTCACAGCAAGACTAGCAAAGATGAAAAAACAGTAGTGTAATTTTGGGCAAAATTTGCATCAACTGGTCCAGTGTTTCGTACCGGGCTCAGGAAGAACCCAAATGTCCACATCCTCTGTACAAAAATTAGTAGCTTTAGGACAACATTGCTATTCTGAACACGACAAACTCTGTCGCTTCTGCAGGTCTACTTGTCCTCCTGCTCAGCAGTTATCAGAGCTGTGCTGTGCACCTCAGTGCCTGCTGTGGCAGCACCTCTCTGATTTACTGGGAACTGGAAGAGGACATCAGCAGCCTAGTGGGAGATGGAAATTGTTAGGTTCAGTAGTTAGTAGACAATATATATACAGCAAAGGAGGAAGGGGGAGGGCAGGTAGAGGAGGAAAGTGCAAACAAGCGCTTTCCGTGCTTGCAAACGCAAGATGTACATCAAACAAAGTGGCAATCATATGGACACGCAATACAACATCAACATCCTGCTGCTCTGTTTGTTCAAACGTCTGCACTACTGCGCAATCACAAATGGATGGCCTGAGTGGAAAAGGTAAAGAGGGAGGGAGAGGAGAGAGGTTAACTACAATGCAAGAAAGCTGTTTGTTTACAGTGTCCTTGCATTGAACTGGATCCTCACAGTCATCACACAGTGAGAACCAAAAGCAGATGGCCAATGCAAGTAGTTGGTTTGGAGTCCGGAGGAAGGACGTCAAGTGGCCGTGATGGAAGTGCTATCCATACAGTATGTGACAAATTGGATGTTCACTTTCCTTAGAGTAGCAGAGTGGGATTGACCCAATTTCATTTTTTTTTCTTTTTTTCCTGAAAGAAAATCCTACAAAAGCAGTTGGGAAAGGGGGGAAGTACAGGTGAGCTCACCATGTGTTCATGGATCAGAACCAGAAAACATTTCAAAAACTCCCAAGACGGCCAACAGACATTAAATCATTCACAGGCTATCAATTCCTTCCTTTTTGATAGTCACTTAAACATTCTGTCCACTGAAATTGGTAACAAAACCTCTGGTTCTAAACACAGGCAGGGCAATGCCAGAACGCTCATTTCCCAGGAGTGGCAATCGCAGCCACGCTGCCTTGGGAAATAAAAGTAAAGACTGTAGCCAACGCTCCTTACTTTTTGTTACTGCTGGTCTGTGCTCTTCTAGAGCAGTCAGTTGTAGATTCAGGACCTCCTAGTAATTAAAGCCATTCTTGGCAAAACTAATTTTTGCATCATTGGTCAAATCATTTACATCTACATTAGTATTAAACACCAGCAGGAACAGTCTAAAATAAGTTAACAGACTCTTAAAATGAGTAAAGCTGATTCTCACTGAAAAATCAGCTTGTTTGGGTAGGATTTTCTTCAATGCATTTGGTGAAAAAAAAACCCGTACTAATTTAGAAAGTAACTTTTAAATGCACATGGGCTATAAAAAAAAAAAAACACAAGCTGCCTAAAATGCAGTCTGAATTTGAGTCACAACAGGTTTTGCTTTGTTTCTTCTTATTATTTTTTTGGTGTATACAAACACAGCAGGCAACCTGGGCACTTTGCCTTTCTACACAGGCAGAAGAATGTTGCACAAGTCAAAGTTTCAGTCGATTCAACTTTGCAGTGATACCTCCTTCCTTCAAAGGAACACAAAAACAAAACAAAAAACAACCTCCCCCCCATGGTTTCTTTCTTGGAATGGCCGCACCTCTTATAATAAGATGGCTTCATTTTTGTGATCTATGAAAGGAAAAGGAAATAAAGTGCTTCTTGAGAATAAATCAAAATAAATATACATATTTAATGGCAGGAAAAAAGAGTTCTGAAGGGCTACCTCCAGCCAGGTCTTTTCTCAGATGAGTATTTTCCCCCATAATTTTTTCAAGAGCGATCTGCACAACAGTTGATGATTCCTACAAGTTGCTTCGGCAACAGAGTTGAATTTTCCCAAGTCTGCATCTGCTCCATCACTGGTTTGTAAAACCTGCGCAAAACACCTCTGCCAAAAGTGCTGGTCCTCCTGCACAACAGCATCAAATAAAATACAAAAGGAAGGGGAGAAGGGGAAAACAAAAACAAAAACAAAACAAAACAACCTCTGAAGAAACAAACAAACAAAAAAAAGGAGAAAATCCACCCAGTTACATAGACTTCATCCCGTTGGCAGTGGTGTTCTCAGAGATGCCGTCGCTCACAGTTGCTGAGTCATGAAGGCCCGAGTAGTCCTTGAGTTCAGAGTTTGTCAGGAGCAGGGGCTGCTCACCCTTCTTGTGAGGCAGGAGGGGCTGCCTGGTGTAGTGCTCCCCGTCCGGGATGTTCTCGGGCAGGTTCTGATTCTTGCTCTCCGGCAGCAGCAGGATGCAGATGATGCAGATGAGCGTACAGCAGGCAAAGATGACGTGGTGCAGGAAGTAGCCTTTCTGGTTGTGCAGCTCCATGATGGGGGCGGTCAGACGGCCAAAACCTGCGCTGGCCAGGACCAGCCCCAGCCCTCCGCCCCTGCAAACATAGCAGAGGTGAGAGCACAGCCCCACACATCCGTGCTGGAAAAGCACTTGAACGACCCTTGGCCTTCAGGCTGTCTTACTGGGCAAGAAACTTGGGCACACAGACTCTGAAATCTCTGAGGCAGAGCTGTTTGCTCACAGCTTTTGTGCTGTGCAAAAAAAAAAAAAAAAAGCTGTGTTGCTTTGCTGTTGTAGATCATTACTGCCTATCTGCTGCTATGGGGGGGGGAATAATCATACTCACCCAAGTATCTTTTCACACCCACATAACTGCACCTACATAAGCAGAAGAGCAGCTGTATTGTGCGAGTACGTGGCCAGCCCTCTAAAATATTCCAAGTGCTCTCGTATTTAATAAGGGCAAACCAGATTTTGCTTAGCATCCTGCTTAGACAAGACACACAAGAAGTGGTAGGTGTGGAACTCTGTTTTGGCTGTCCCCAAAGTATCTGGCAGCAAAGGCCACTGGAGGCAGGAGATGAGGCTTCACAGATCATTGCCTCATTCTGTTGTACCAAGCACTGAGTGCTGAAATATTTTTCCTATAAAATGTGTTGGGGCTGGAACCTCTACATGAACTGGTGTTGTACCAACATGAATCATTTTCAGGAGAAAAAAAAAGAGGTAACACAGCAAGTGGTTGAAATAGAAGAATTAGTCAAGAGTTCAGGGATTCATTTCTGAGAGCTCTTCCCTGACTCGCCATGAGTCAGGTGCCTCACCTCACTCTTGCCTTCCTTGTGTATTCATGTGCTGTGCATCAAGGGATGACAGAAAGGTGAATACAGGTAAATGCTTAAATTATAAATAGGGAACTTCATAGAATATTCCTTATGGCACAAATGCTTATTTATTTATTAAAGCAATGTGCCAGAGTACTGAGATAATACATGCAAGCACCAAAAAAGAGTGAAAATGCATTAAAGTTCAAAAAGAATCCTAAAGTGTGAAACCAGCCTCTTCTGTCACCCCACCATAAGAATGGAAATGTTTGCACTGGCTTCATTCCATGCCATTTCAACTCTGGGTCATGCAAGCAGCCCCTCTAGCAATGCCCTACCTTCCCTGAAGCCTCTCCAAGCCCTGCGCACACCCAGCCATGTGGTCAGGGCTGTCCCATCTTGCCTGGTGACACTGCAGACGTGTGCAGACCTGCTTCTGTGGCAGGAACACCGAGACCTCTGGGCTGTCACCCAAAGCTGTCCCCTTAGCTGCATCCCACAGAGCTGCAGCGTGCCCTTCCCAAGGCTCCCTCTCCTATAGAGGGAGGTCAGGCCCGGTGGCAGAGGTGTGCGGGTTTCAAAAAATGCTCTTTAGGACAAAACTTCCTGTATGTACCTTCTATTTCTCCAGACTTGGTAAAGCTCTTTTCACAGATAAGGGTGAATTTTCCCCAAATACTGCAAAAGTCCTAATTAAAACCTTGCCAGCTTTCCAAATGGCAATTTAGAAACCTTGCTGAATGCGCCCCTTGTGCAAGCAGCCTCCCTGCAGCTTCATTAACAGGCTCACATGGGTGCTCTGCAGAACTTCCCTCCTGAACACATGGCGAGCTGCTCTCCAAGTTGGCTCGCTCACATCAGCGCTTGCTACAGCTACACTGCATCTCAGCAAGCGAGGGGACCTGAGGTGATCCTTCAAAGCAGCTGCGGAAGGACATCAGAGAGGCTGAAAGGAAGCGGGAAAAGGCAACAAAGGCAACTCTGTCATTACAAGGCAAGCAGCTTCACATTTGGAAGGGGAAAAAAATACAGTTTTTCTATGTCATGGCAGTAATTAGAACAAGCGTTACTTTATCCTGCCCTCAGAAACTGGCAGGAGAATGACTAAAGATATATGTTGGTGTGCTTGGTTTTTTTCATGTCTGACTATACTGCAAATATGAAAATGGGTAGGAAAAAAAAAAGCAAAAAAAGCAGAACGCTCTGAGAACAGGGAAGTAGTGCCACCACTAGGGAGCAGACAGAGCTCATGTTGCTGCACAGCAGTTAGCAGGTGGCCTGGCAGCCCTGCTCTGTCCTGACAGGGTCTGTGCCCAAAACGGCTGCCCTGTGCAGGCCAGGGGCTGCAGTGTCCATTGGAATGCAGCACAACATCCTCCGTGCTCTTGGCCTGAGCCCGACTGAGCCTAAGAGGAAGGACTCGCCCTTCTCAGCTTTGTACACAGCACCATCATCCTATTTTGAGTTGGCCGTTTGTCCTCAGAACCAACTGCTTATTAGGACTTCATCCCGTTTACTCAGCTGCTTCTAAAGTCATTCCCTGAACACTTCCTTTGCTCTTACCAGCCTTCTTCTTACATGAACAGCCCTGCTGGAGGCTCAGCTCCAGGCCAGAGTTTAGACACCCAAGGCCTTGACTCCTTTGAAAAGACCAGCCTGGGGTCCAGATCCCAGTTGACAGCACCATACCCTGCTGGAAACTCAGGTTGAGACATCTGTTGATGGATAAAGCTCCTAATACAGCCATCACTGCCCACGCTTCATTTCTGTGCCTCTGGGATGAAGGCTAAAGCAGGACACCAAGAGAAATCCTGGTCCGGGTCTCTTCTCCCACTCATTAGTGACTGAGAACACAGAGGACAGGGAGAGGACACCACACATTCCTCAGTCCATTCATACGAAGCAGCTGTGAAACCCATGGTGGCATTCTCATCAAGATTACTGGAGATGGACTACCAGTGTTATTTGATGCTTAGAACCAGTAGCTGGAAGTCCCTGGTATAAATAAACCATTTGATCAGGGAAACCTCAAATCAGCCCCAATCTCTCACTACTTCTCTTTTCCATAAGACTCCTCAAGATTCATTAAGATGCACAGTATGATGCTCGAAACACTAAGGGACATCAGAATACCAATGGTGTTCTGGAAAAGAGGCAATGAGTCCAGAGCCCACCACAGCACAAGACACTTAACTCTACTTCCACCTGAGACATGTTGACAGACTGTCCTGAGAGCCGCAGCACAATTACAGCCCCAAGCAGATGTCATCAACAGGTTTGCAATGGTAGGACTGCAAAGCGCTGCGGAGTATCATCATCCCTATTTATAAACGGGAACCCTGAGGCACATCCAGCTATTGTCACTTGCTTGGTGTCACCCAGCAGAGCCAGAGGAAGCAGAACTTTGGTTCCCAGACAGGAATTTGTCCCCGTCTTTGTTACAACACGAGCAATTCAAGGAAAAAGCTTGCTAGGTTCACACTGCATATCTGACCCCACTTGTCAGATTCCGTTCTGGGATCCCATAGTAGACTCGTCCGATTCCTTATCTGCATGCCTTTCAAACAGAGATGAGGAGAAATTAAAGAGGCATAAAGAGACCAAATGACTGACAGGCACGTAAATATATAGCTGCTAGTGTTTTGGGCTGCTGTGCAATCTCCTCACCACTCATACTGCCCTTCCCTGTGAGAATAATATTATCTGTAAAATATATTCACAAAGTCAGAGAGCTTAGAAGAGCAGGCTGTGGACTGAGGGGACTGGTAAATCTGACAGTTTTGTTATAATGCTTTTACAAAGTTATTGAAAAAGCATGTAATTGGAGGGGAAGAGGGAAGCTCAGAATCTCTTCCTCCCTGCTCCCCTCTCCCTCCCACCCGTATGACCTACATTCCTATGAAATTCAATGGGAATCAGAGCAGACTCCTGAATTGCTGTGGCACTGCTGAAAGCATTATCCAGAACACACAAGCACAAACTTCGTGCCAGGAAAGATAACGGTGAATAAATAAAATGGTACATAAGCCACACGATACAAAGACAATTTACAGAAGGCTCTCCAGAGAAGATCATCTGCCTGAGTTCTACTACTGCCCAGCATGAGAGCACTCCCCTTCAGAGAAACACTGAGCCTTGGCTAAGATAGATCTGGGGGCAAACAGAAAGATGGCAAAGAGGTAAAGTATGATTCTGCAGTAAAGGCAAAACAAAGTGGTGCTGTAGGCGAGGCTGCAAATCCTCAGAGCACCTGTACACTCCTGCAGCACTGAACACTGCATACTGCAGCACCTCCTTTCCACTGAACCACTCCTATAGCAGGATTAACTCTCCCTACGGAGGCAAGGAACTGACTGAGGCTATGTCCTTTTCTGCTCACCTGTGTGAATCTATCTAATATCCAGCTGTGGGCTCACACAGTTACCACCTGTACAAATCCAGCAGGGTAAGCAAAGTAACAAAATGGTGCAAAACTACAGAATTCGCTTCAGTTAAGTAATTTAGACCATACCATGCTGTGAACAAATGCAGTTCATGTGATGACTGGCCTGCTGAAAATCACCACGATGGGGTATGAGGTGGAGCCATCTGAAACAGAGCCTCTCTGTCCTCAAATAGGCATTTACTTAGACAGACAGACTGCAGCGATTAAAAAGTGGCTCAGAAATTACTGTGTGGTTTCCAATTATGGGAGATTTCCCCCCTACCCCATACAACGTGTTAACTTACAGTTATCAAGAAAATGAGTTTAATTTCTTCCCTGCCCTTTAAGGTGAGGGGCCCTGGTGTCTCACCTTATTACTGTGGGTGTGATTTCAGCACAGAAGAATACGCTGAGACTTCCAACGGCATGCGAAGAAAACATCCCCACAATGGAAAATGCGGTAGAGAACTTGTCTTTGACACTGTCACTCATACCTGTCAAGACAAGGATGTGCATGAAAAGAGAGAATGAGGCCAAATCTCCAAGAAGGAAAACAAGAAAACAGGTCTACGTTACTCATTCTCCCTAAATAAGGATTTGAGTCATTTCTGTAAAGCTAATTTAAAACAGGTATTTATAAAATTCTTTCCCAAGCATCCAAGACACAAACACGGATGAAAAAAAATCATAATGTCATGCCAAAAATGGCAGTGATCTCTGCATTATTTATGCTCAGCCACCACAAAAAAGCAAAAGACCAAAAAAACCCCACCTATTTGGGCAGCCTTTCAGGCACCAGACACTTCCCTCCCAAATTTGACAGACAGACAGACGCAGGAGGTGTTCATCAGGTTGCCAGCACCTACAGCTCACAGCCCTGGGTGCTGGAGAGGCTCTTGGGACAGCAGGGGAGGGAAACAGAAGTGCTCCCACTTCCATTACACCTGCCAATGCCCTGCGAGTGATGGGTCTGCAGACTGTTCCAACTCAGCTCAACCCTCACTGTGTTGGATCCAATGGATAGCCACCCACTTACATTCCTGCTGAAAATATCAGCTTTTGGGAGAGCAAAAAGTATATGACTCCTTAGGTCACAACTTTTGCAGCGTACTGAACGATTCCCACAGCCTGCTGAGGGCTAAGCCCTTTCTGCCATGCACCCCAAGTCTGTAGGAGAGGACAAATCCTGCTGGCAGACAGGGATGTGAGTGAAGTGCTTTGCACACCAGGGCTCTGTGAGGCTCCTGGGCACTTTTGTAACAATGACCCAGTGGGCACTGCTGGACAGAACAGACCTTGGAAAAGCTGGGCAAGGCCACGTCTGATCAGTCAGATGCTGAAGTTCCCCTGCAGCCCATCGCTGCACTGCCATGACAGTACTTAAGGTTGAAAAACAGTGTCTGTGTCCCCTTCTCAGAACAGACTTTAGCACTGCTTCCTGCACATTGCAGACATGTATGTAAACCGTACCTGAGTCTGGAAGTTGACTGTATTTTCCAATCACTGCGTCCAAGATCATGAAGTTACAATATGATAAAAATAAGAGAGGGAGAGAAAACAAGAGTGTACTGTTGTTACTCATGCAACTCATCCAGAGTAAAAAAGACAAGGCAAGCCCCGCATGCCTCCCTCAGCCCCACGCACTCCTCCTGTCCCACAGCCCCCTGATGCAATGTGCCAGCTTCAGCCAAATGAATGCTAATGACATGGTGATAATAACCACAGAGGCAAGGCATTCTGAAGAGACCCAGAATTACTGCTGGGCTAACACAAAGGCCTCTTTGTTGTTAACAAAGAAGGAGAAGAGAAACTGTCCCCATCCTGCAGCCCCAAGGAGATGACCAATGCAGGCTCTGCTTGGAAAGCAAAGCTCTCAGAGTCAGCATCACTGTGTGGTGAGTGACCTCCTCCCTTGGCAGCAAGGCAACCTAGGGTCTGGAGCAAGGGCTAAGAAGGATGAGCCTCAATGCTTGCTGCTGATGGATACACTCGTCTCCCTCTCCCCCCTTCTGCAATTCCCATTTTGTTTGCTAATTACACCCAAATTATGCTAAACTGAAACATAAAGCTGTAACAGATTTAATATTTGGTACGGTCACTGTTTCTCTCTGAATGCTGTCCAGCAGTTTTGGGGAAGAAATGGGGTATGGTCTAAAGCAGGAAGAGACAAGCTGAAGGCTGCCTTTCTCTCCTCTTTTTACAAAGAAATAGGGGAAGGAAAGAAGGGACAGCCCACAGGAACAGGGCATCCACTCAAGTCCATGTATCAACACAGCAGAAAACACCTAGGGTCTATGGCTGTTTTCAGATTTTAGCAACTTTGTGTCACAGAATGGTATGGGTTGGACAGGCCCACTCAGCTCCAACCCCTGCTGTGGGCAAGGCAGCCCCCCACCAGCTCAGGCTGCCCAGGGCCCATCCAACCTGGCCTTGAGCCTCCAGGGATGGAACACCACAGCTTCTCTGAGCAGCTGTGCCCACAAAACCACACAAACCCATCACAGAAAAGGTTCTAGCTATTCTTACAGAATGTTCCTCCTCACCATCAGCCCTTGTTGCTGAAAAACTGAAACCAGATCTTAATGGCTCCAGTGTACTTTCTCTCTACAAAGCAACTACGTTTACTACCTTGGCAGCCTCCACAAATATGTGATGCCCTTAGAAATAAAGATGAATGTATTGCAGAGACCCTGCTGGACACCATCATGAGAACCTGGAGTTTTGGGAGAACATACACACACATACATACATAGTGTGCATCTGCATGTCACAGTACTTCAGAACATGAGATGAGGCATGGAGCTTCTCCCCTTTCAGCTGATGCTTTTGGGCACAGTAAGCGTGCTCAAAGGAAATGTAAATATCTGTACCAAGTGGAGAGCAACACTGGAGTCTCCTCAATGTCCTGAAAGATATTCACTGTTCCCACCTTCCACTTCCACAAATAGTGTGTTCACTAAAGGTTGACTTGGTCAACACTTTCAGGAAACATAGTCTGTAAATACGGGCAACACTTGCTGGGCAAGGGCTCCCCCTCAACATGTGGGAACGTAAAAATCTTTCCATCCTCAATGCAAAAACCCTCTCTCATTAAAGCTCTGAAGTCATTTCTAAACTTAGAAGTGGAAAACAGCAACAACCAATGTTCTTGTGTTTGTCACAATTCCAGTTTGTCCAGAGGCACGTCTCAGTCTCCCAAAAGCACCCAGAGGAGGGGGAGAGACTCTTGCTTTTGAAAGGAACAATCCCTCTGACAAGCTGCATCGCTTCCTGAAATCATACCTACATATGCACGTAGACCTTGCACACATGCCACAGCAGAAGTAGGATTCCTCAGCTGTGTTTCTCTGCTACCCACACATTACTTGGAAGCAGCAAGATGGTCAGATTAGGCAGAAGACATGCACCTACTGCTTTAACTCCTGCTTCTTTTAGAGACCATGTAGAAAGCAGACCCAAGTGGGAAGATTCCTTCCTTCCCAAGCCCCTACCCATCGCATATTTCACTGAAATAAATGCTTTTTTGTTCACTTGTCTTTCCGTGATAGACCTAGAAGCAGCACCAACACTCAATGAGCTTCACCACTGGGACTCATCCAGAACACAATTCTTCTTCTTAATGAATCTAAGGCAACAACTGTTTGGAGAATCCTTCAGATAAATTCAGCTGCTGAAGCTAAGGTGTACTGCATGGCAAATCTGAGAGAGGTGATGGAAACATTCCTAGGTCCCTTATCCAAAGATCCTTGGAGGTGGGGGGGAAATCGATCTAGGCTACATAACATTTTCCATCAACTCTATGAACATGTTAAAATCAATTCTTCCCTCCCATAAGAAAAAAACATGGAGAGGAGAGAACCTTCATCCAAAATTTGACAGTGAATTGTTAACTCTGACAGAGTGTAAATCTCTGTACCTGTACAGTGCAAGGAAACATCGAAAAGGAGACTCTTATGAGCACCTAACGGTGTTCTACTTTAACTGATATAAAAGGGAGTGAAAATATACTGTAAGTGACATTTCTGCTATCACCGTCAGCAGGATCATACAGCATAGAAATCAGCCAAGTTCCCACGCAGCTACTTGGCTGTCAGACTCTCCACCATCAACTGCTGCGACCATTTTACCCCTACGTGTCACACTCAGCCTCCTGTGGTCCTGAAAAGCGCATCTCCAACTCACAGTTCAGAAGGCCCAGCTGAAGAAGCGATGCCAGAGCTGTAAGGATCATGAAGAGCAGGAGCCCTCCTCTCCTCCCCAGGAACCCAACCACGGGGCACATGGCCAGGCAAGATGCCAGCGCAATCCCAGCCATGGTATAGTAGTCTGCATAGAAGTTCTGGGTAATCGTCATCTTCGCTTCGTGCCCCATCATGCTTTTTGCAAAACAGTGGTGAATGCCGTAGCCAGTCAGCCTAGGGAACAGGAAAGGGCAGCAAGAGATCATGACCATGTACTGCAATGTAATTCAACACAGGAACACAGTCACGTGGGAAGCATTTCTGCTGTGAGAATACGACGCCTACTGCAAAAAGACCCATCTCTAGTTAGTCTTCCAGGTGCTATCATTAAAATAAGACATTATTAAAAAAGAAAATTAAAAAAATCCTTATTCAAGTAGAGATTTGCAATCTACTGTCTTCATTTGCACACCTTTTGGTCAAGATCAGGATATGATAAACTTCACAAGGACTCTTAGTACCTATTCAATGATCCTTATGGTCCCTTCCAACTTGGGATATTCTGTGATTTTAAGATTCTGTGACTGGTTTTCCCAACACATTTTGGAACCCCTCCCTCGAGCTATTTCCAATATATCCAACTGCTGACAGCCACTCAACCAGCACTGCTGTGACAGAACAACCTGTGTGCTTGGGCAGCAAAACACGTACAATACAAATATCTCTTCCAGAAAGACCCTCCTGCCCGTGGCACTGAATCATACTACAAATGGCATCTCACCCCCCACATTAGCCTGTTACAACTGAAAACCCCCTAGAAATAAGCATTTGAAGTCACACATTGTTCTGCAACAATTATTACTATGATGAAACAATAATCCCTAGTTCAGTCTACACATATATCACATTAGAGCAGTATCTCTCCTTTTAGAAGGTTCTTCACAATGCCAATAATTCCACATCTCGTTGCACTGTTATACTCCTCTTCTTCCTGTCCTTTCCTCTCAATGCAAGAAAGAAAAAATAAAGAAGACAAGGAAGGGAGAGCGGGGAGGCTGGAGGCAGAGAAATCACTGTGAGAAGCCCTAACGTCACTCAAGCATGGTGCCACGCTGCACTGCACCAGCACGGCTTTGGCAGGAGGTTGATGCTCTCAACTCAACAACCCCTCGAGCAGCAGCAGTACCTCTGCAGGGAAGGGCCTCCTGCCCCAGCACCTACACCTGACAAAACTGCTGCAAGCTCATGTCAAATGGATGGTGCCCCACAGTGCTGCAGAGCCAGGTCTCCGAAAATGAATGGCAGGTGCATTATACTGATACACCTCTATCCTCCGAGTGTGAGGAACTTGAAGCACTTGTCAGTGTAAACTGGTTATTTAAGCATAGAAACAGCTGGGGAATACACAACTGCTGAGCACATGACTACTCGGAGCCTGGGGAATTTTTCTCGCTACCTTATGAATCAACACCACAATTCAGGAATACTTCCCCCAGCACTGCACTCCTCCCCCCAACAACAAACAGCTATGCAGTTACCTGCCATTATAGAGAAATGTCACCTGCCTTGGGTATCTGGATAACACCTCCTTCTAAGTGAAATATTGATTAGAAAAATCATTTTTTAATAATGGAGAAGCATTAACCAGTTTTTATCTTCTCCCTTTCTCTTGTCTGCATGCACACATGCTTGCTAAGGTTGATATTTAGGCCATAACCAATAAGCCAGATTAGCATATCATCTGTGCTTTGCTACCCAGTCTGCTTCCCCATGAATTGCTCAGTTATCTTGCTGAAACTGAAGATATTTATCTCCCTTGATAACTCACCACTCCCTGAGAAAGGTTCTTCCTCCGTGTTCCATTTACACTGCTAAAACTTAGTGCAGAGAATGCAACAGAATCAACAGAACTTAGATTTATTTTTTCACACCTCATAAAGACAAACCTGAAAGATATTTCCTTAAACACACATCAGCTGCACACTCTATATGGATGGCAAACAGCCTCCATACACTATTGCTCTAAGTCACTCTGTGGGCTCCCTAATTCTGGGTTAGGGAATTTCCAGATACGCATCACTAGAAAGGGTGTGGGTGAAAGGGAGAATTCCCCCATATTTCCACATACAGCTGTATGGGAACTGCTGAATCATGGTCTGAACCTCTGATGGATCACCTGAGGTGAGCAATGAATCAGCCCTGGGAGCACAGGTAAAGGCAATTCACCTCTGCTGCTGGAAGGGGTGGAGCCTGGCTGCACCTCTTCTAGACCCATTTAAGAGCTGACTACCAGTGGGAAAGGACCTCTTCTGTAGATCCCTCCTTTGGAGTTTTACAGTGAGCCTAGGACAAGGGTAAACACTCTATCTATTCTTTCTTTGGTGTAATAACCTACTTAGCCAAACTCTCTTATATTCCATAATTATAGCATCTGTATATTCACTGATTGTACAATGGCTAATTCTGGTTATTCAATCCATTTGCTCAGCCTAAGAAGAAAACACTGCATCAGCTTCAGAACCAGGCCAAATACTGAGAGGTGGCAAAGAGGAATGTAAAGCCCTATGAAGAGAGTTGGTTCTGCAACCAGTGCAGAAACTGTATGCCTCTCAGCGGCTGTCCTCTTTGTGTTAAGACTGCTCCATGTGCCTATTAGCAGGGACAACAGCTACAGAGTAGGGCCATGAACTGGGGAAGAAAAAAGCCACAAGAGCACAACAGACTTCCTAAGGAGAACAGGGGATGTGCAGATGTCCAGTCTGCTCCCACTTCCCACTAGAAAAATCTCAGAATCAAATTCAAATGGACATTCTAGAAAAATGAGAAAATTTCCTCTCTGTAAGCTGGGTTTTGTTAGAGGCTAAATTTGCAGCCTATCCATTTCCTTTTAATGGAGTGCTCAATTTTGGACAGCTCTCAGAGACTGTAACCAGCAAAATTCTCAGGCGGAGGCCTCACTTTGCACATGTAAGCATGTACTAGCAGAAGCTTCAGGACACAGGCATTGCATTGCTCTATTCTTGATTGGGAGATTTGAAACAACTTTGCAGTTTCTTTTTGAGGCCACATCAAGGGCACTGCTGTACAAGGGAGCAAGCTTGTGTTTGCTGGTAAGCAACGTCTTCCTCTGCGATGCAGCTATATCAGATGTAAACAACTCAGGCTTGTGCTCCTGTGGTATTAATAATTTCAAAAATCCCCTCCAGGATGCCAGCAGCAGATGTTTGCAAGTGTAAGCACGTGGCTGTGTGAGATGTCAGAGCAGTTCTGATGGCAGCGCTCTTGCAGCATGACACTTGGTGCTGCTGTCTGAGATGACCGACTATTTCCTCCACTTTGCCATATAAAATAGTTCCCTGCAATAGCTGGTACTTTTCCATGGTTTTTACCAGAGGCTTAAGCTAAGGGTCCCTCACTGGAGAGCCCCCATCATTTCCCATTGTTGCTTTCAGTTCACCAACCATAAAAAGAACTCGAGTAGAAACACAATATGAAACTTACGAGTTCACACACAATACCACAATGTTTTTCCACAGGTTCCTGGTTCCCACCACTTTGATAATGCAGACTTTCTTTGATCTCCTAGTGATCTCCTTTTCCAGCTCTGAAACAAAACAAAATGAACCAAATTATTTGGTAATCAGTGATAGGACTAATAAGATAGTGATAGCAGAGTTAATGGCCTTAAGTTGCACCAAGAGAGGTGCAGGTTTGATACTTGGAAAAATTTCTTCTAAGAAAGAGTGGTAAAGAACTGGAATGGGTTGCCCAGGGAGGTGTGGAGCCACTATCCCTGGAGTTATTCAGGAAATGCATGGATGTGGCACTGAGAGGCATGGTTAATAGTTGAACCAGATGATCTTAGTTGCCTTATTGATTCTATTCTTTCAATGATGACAAAGAGAAGGAGCAGCTTAGTTTGTGAACTACTGATATCTCAGGGATGTCCTGGAGAGTAGGATACTGCTGATGGTTACACTAATGAAAGTTACAAGAAGCTCAACTGCCTGCCTGAATTCCATCCCAGGTTTTGCTCTTCTTCCAGGTTTCCCTCAGCAACCACTGCCTTAGGGACTGACAAACTGCCCAAGAGTCCCTTCAGACAACAGCCTTCCCCCATGTGAAAACGTTATCTAGAAAGCAGGCAGTATGGAGCAGTAATGTGGTCCCAGCAAGCAAAACGTGCTGAAGAACTTCAGGATTCTGCTGACATCTAAACGCTCACGGAAAGCACCATTTTCATGGAGGGTCCCTGAGTTGTGCATTTCTGTAACAACACCTGAAATCCACTGGGAAGGACTGGAGTTCCAACCTGATTTATGGGGGAATCCTCTCAGTTTTTTCTGAAACCTGTTTTTAAACAAAGTGGCCACAGCACTATGCCAGTTCATCCTCTTCCCCCTCATGTTTGAAATACTTGAAATCATTTTGAAAGATGCCCTAAACTGAAGACATTTCCTTAGGGAAAAAATCCTGAGCATCATCAGTGACTTTTTTGCATTTCAAAACTAAAGCTGTGTCATGTCCCTAAACTGCTGAGCTAACTGGAAGACAACTTCTATTTACAACCCTATAATAACACACAAACCTCTCAAATATCGCATCTGATACTCTCCCTGGTACAGGATGAAAGACACTGCTCAGTTCCAAAATATCATTAGCTTAGAGACAGAAAGTGAGCTCCTTCCTGCCCAGGATGCAACAGAGCCACTGTTCCCAAGCTATGGGAAACAGTGAAGTCACCATCCCTGGAGGTGTTCAAGATGTGGTACTGAGAACTGTGTTAGTGGACATGGTGGGGACAGGTTGGCAGTTGGACTAGGTGACATTAGAGATCTTTTCCAGCCTGAATGATTCTATGATTCTAAGATACAAGAGCAGTGAGATAACCAGGAGGGCACAAAGCCTGCTGCAAGCAGAAGCCACAGCAGAATCACAAAAAACACTGCATCCCAGGAGCGCAAATCTCAACTATTTCTTAGGGCAAAGACTTCTACTGCTACTTTCCAGCCTGCTCCACAGCAGCAGCAGGGCCCCATTCTGCACCCTGCTTCCATTCCCCTTGTGCATGGGCAATCAGCCCAGTGTCCTCAGCTGCCCACACTGCACTGCCCTGGCCTCTGCTCTACTCACTGAACAGTAATCCCTTCAAGAGATGCAAGAAAAGGAAAAAAAAAAAAAAAAAAAAAGCAAACAACTACAGAGAAATGAGATAGACCAACTCTAATTTACAAGCAAAACAAAAGATGTATTTGTTTGCTGTTACTGGAAAACAGTGTCATAAAAATAATAAACCGAAGAAACACTATTTAGATGCAAATAGTCGTGCTGTTCACTGCTCACAGGTCACTCCTGGTCACCTATCTGCTGTAACTACAGGGAATGTTTCTGAGAAAAGAAATGAAAGGTATTTCATTGTACTTAATGACTGTACTTCAGCAGGATATTACGGCACTAGCCTCCTTATACCTGATAATATCCATTCTCCCCAGCATCTGTGCAGCGTGAGGCCCACAGAATCATAATAGCAGAGCTGGAGCAAAAGAGGAAATCGGTCAAATTAATATTTGCAAGACAGGAGCACCCAGCAGGCTCAGCAATGGATCGGGGCTATCTTAAAAAAGAAAGCAATAAAAATGGTGGTACTTAATCTCAAAGAGCAAGGTCAAAGTGATTTTTGTAGCAAGATTCTGGAAAGGATTAAATGGGAAGAAAATAATTCAGAACAACTAAAGTAGTCAGATAAGACAGTGTTGTAAAGTCCATAATTGAGCCCATGCTAAACCTTTTGCACTGAAAAAGTCAAACAAAGCAGAAGAAAAACTACAAGGCTTTGAAGAGCTTAACAGAAGATGACTGTTTACTAATCTGGCTCAAGAGAAACAACAAAAATCAATGCCCACACAATACACACTGCACAGACTTCTTGTGGGCATGAGGGTTCTCCCTCCATCTGTTTAAGTATGACCAGATCTGGGCTTTCAAAGCAAGACATTTCCTCCTCTGTCAGCAGAAGACTGTCCCTAATGAACGCTCTTTGGGCTTTCCCACTTTGGGTGTTTGTGTTTCTCAAAGTCATTCTTCATTGTCAATCTGTGCTTTGTTGAGCCACAACTTAGTTAAATGAAATTAAGAGGACACAATGCCATACATATGTATTTAAGTCAGGTGCTATTTCCATTCTTCCATGAAATGTTGGTGGAATCTTTGGGCTCCACCACTTATTTTTCTCCCATCTTTTCAATTTCCAAAAAATCCAAATGTACTCACAAGTCACCACCTTCAGATGATTGGCTGTCCCCAAGTCTCTAATATAATACATCTTTCTGATGGCTTTCTCTATCCTTTATACATATATACCAACCAACAACAACAAGAACAAAAAAACAACCAAAAAAACAACTCATCCACCCCCACACAAACATTTACAATAGGCAAAACATCACTGAAATTGCAACAAATAAGGTATGTGACTGTGATTGGCCATCAGGGGAGTAGCAGCAGGGCCCTGGCAGCTCCTTGGCTGCCTAAACACTGCAGGTCAATGATACAATCTTAAAAGTCAAGCCAACGTCCATTAAAGTCATGTGGAAGCAAACTATTGCTTGCCAGTTACAGCAAGAAAACTCCCCCTCCCCCAACCTTTTCTTTTATTTTGCACTGAAGTCCCCAGTTCAGAAGAAATTTGCATTAAACATTTCATTCTGACTGATACACCAGAATGGCGAGCGTGAAAAATAAAAAAACATTTTTCCCTATGTACTCAGAGGCCCATTATGAGCTTTCCCATACTCCAGAGCCCACACACACTGCAGGCTTCCTATTCAAGGACTCAGTAGGAACACTGTCAGCATGCTAACTCTTCATGTCTCAGTGGAAATTAAAGCTATTCACTGGGACATTCTGACAGTCTCACAGGGAGGGGAACCCCACCAGCTTCCAGCTCCCAGCGCTGCTGGGTTCTCGTGGGATCCACAGCATCTCAGGACCAAGGCTTTTAAAATCGTAAAGCATCTCTCAAGGCTTCAAATGAAGCCACTCATCTCTGCACTGCTTGGCAAAGGTAAAATGAACAAAGTTTGAAACCTCTGAAAAAGGATGTCCAAGGTGACAAACCTCATATGGTGGTAGTGTGTTGCTGGATTTTTCTGGCTGCTAAGTGCTACTGTCACTAGTGTTTTAAACATGAAAAGAGCTATGGAAGCATAACAGAAAGGCTCCATTGGTCCCCAGAGCTCAACAGCTCTGCAGCAGGAAGCAGACAGCTGAGCAACCTGCCACAGCCACAATGAGCTGCTGGTGTGCAGGGCTGTTCGTGCTTCCCATGATTTCTGTTTCCAGAAACTCGTCTGTGCTTGCTTTTGTCTTCAAGGACTAGCAGCCTGGCGTATTGTATTTTTGAAAAGCCTAATGTTGGAGGAGTATTGAAGGCTATCAAGTCACATACAAAAATATGAGCTGGGTAAAGAAGTGACTGATGGAAAGGCAGCAAAAAGGGGCAGAAAAATGGAGATGACAGCTGGATGGAGAAGATTACTGCTGGGGTGACTTGTGTTATTCTCAAAAATGAAAACAATATTTAATAAACTCAGTAGGGAGTTTGGCACAAAACTTAGGAATGTGTCAATGATGACTGCTGATGACAGCGAGGCGCTATCAGCCATTCAGCACAGAAATGGGACAACAGAGATAAATGGATGAACCTGAGATCGTGTGTGGCAAAAGCAAGTTGGAAATGCAAAATACAACTCAGTGATTCAAGAGAAATGCTTCTGCTGGAATATGAGCTTTTAACAAGGACTGCAGTGCCACTGGCTCTATGCTGCTTGCTCTCTAACTACATGGCACCCTCATGTTGCATTCATAAAGTATTTCCAATTCAGACAATGAAATATGGGTGCTCTTTTACACTTCTGGTCACCAACATTTGAGAAACTGAAGCCTTGGTAAGCCTATTTATCAAAGGAGGAGATAGAGAAGAACTCCAGCTGTCTGCTGATACAGTATAGGAAAAGAGAATAAGAAAATTAAGATGGAGCCAGTTGCAGAACAGGAGCAAATGGGAACAGAAAAAAGACAAAGAATCTGGACAGCTACAGTATATTTGAACTGAATGCTAAAATGTAGCCAAGTGTAAGAGTGATTTGGATGAGGGAATGGCTTTCCAACAAAAGCATGGGACAAAAAAGCTAACAGCATTTAAGATGAATCTAGGGTAATCAGAACAACTGCGTAACTCATTGACTACAACCACCAAGGACTGACTGCAATAATTTGTTTCAATCCCATGTTTCTAATTACATTCAAAAAAAGGTGGGAAAAACCAGACACAAAGTTGCCACTGCAATTTCTAGTTGCTCATACACATTATGATACAGCACTTAATTAGATGATCACACATTAGTTTCCTCTTCCAAAATGTTCAGTGCAGTCAGCAAATGAGCAGCTATTAATGATATTCTCTACCTTTCTCATTCAAGATGTGCCCCTGTGCCTTATTATTCAGACCTCACAGTGAATACAAAATCGTAGCTTTCCTCAAAGACATTCCCACAGTGCTGTCAGGATATTCACGTACTTCATAAATATCAATGAAATCACCTC